CCCCAAAACATGCAATAACCCCATAAAGTATATCCTCGGAACCGGGGGATCTGGGTGAACCACATATCCAAAATTCACCCAGATCCGTTCAGTAGTTTGGAAGATACAGTTTAATGCAGATTCCGCAGAACAAATACAAGCTATATGAAAAATAATTACTGTATAATGTATCCCCTGTTGTATAGTTTAAAACTACTGCACGATGTCTTTGTGCACCAAATACCGGCGAGATGGCACAGTGTAGAAAAGTCCAAACAGTGTCTGTGAGTTAAAATGGCCACCATCCATTGTTCTCACTATGTGCTTCATCCATTGTTCTCACCATGTGCCTCTGATACATGAAATGGTGGCCACCCAGTAACTCCACAGTATGTCCCCAGATGGTTCTTAAAAGGGCCAGCAGCAGCACAACACAAATCCATTATGCCCAAATCATGTCTTTAAAGGGCAATACATCCCAGGGGCCATAGTCACATGGCAGGAGGCTGGCAATCAGTCTTCTCCAATGCCCAGTGGCGAGGTCGGTTTCGCCACAGTCAGTTTCCTGTTTAACCTGAAGTCCCTGGCTCTTATCACCATTGATACATTGTCATATGCAAAAGTTTTATTCTCTACAATATCCTGGGAGGCAATTAGGAGTGATGCTAGGTTAACATTTTTACCTTCCAGGATATCTTTTTTAATATGAGCTGGTATCATGTGTGCAGGGTTAATGTCCTGTGAATCAGAAGTAGTTATTAAACCACCTAAGTGAATTTCAGTAGATACTGGTTGAACTGTGGTGGAAGGCCTGGCTGTTGTCAGAGCTAGAGTGACCAATTCCATCTGATAACATGGAGTGAATATCTGCTGAATTAGCATTGCTTGGGCCTTCCCTTGCCTCCATATTATCTGTAGATGTGCGAAGCAGAAAGAACAGTTCCGCTTTCCTAGTTTCCTGAGTTCAGTAGTAATGCGAGGGATAGTCCAGTATCTGATTGATGCTGGACTAGCCATGTCTCCTTTACGTGAAGGTGTGCCGGATCTAACCGGAGTGCTGGGTAAAGATTGCTCTTTGCCACCTTCTTGAGACATACTAAATAACATAAAGATTAACATTATTACCTGTACATTTTAAAGTAGTACTGGCTTGCTAGCTAATGCCAAGTGGCGAAACAATTATACTAAGTTTGGTGACTGGTGAGGCCCTGCTAGATGCCCAGCGGCTTGAGAGGCTCTATGTATGCGTTGGTGCAAGAGGAATTTTGTGGCCACCAAACGTTGTGGCGGGGCATCAGCCTCTCTGTGACTTTAACAGTTCAAGATAGAAAGGGAGTGACAGGTGAGGCCCTCCCTATGTTACTTTGCGAGACAGCTGGCTATGATTGGCCCGATGAGCGTATACCTCCGGTAATGAGGATGGGTGTTGGCCTCGCGGGACCACTAACCTAAGGCATGGAGGCCGTAGAAATTAAGTTACTTATTGGACTCCTAAGACCCTATTTGCCAGTACGCTTGTAACTGGAATAATGAGGGGGAAAATTTATATGTTTGTAATAAGCAGGTGAACGTACCTTGGTAGTTTAGTTTTATGCTGATAAGCCAGTTAGTAGCTTTAGTTGTACCTGCAAACCTAGTGGATAAGACAACATATTGAAGTATGAAACATGACATGACCTGGTCCTTATGCCTAATATACATATATAATGTACAAGTAAAAGAGCAAAAGTGCCCCACAAACCAAGCTCCTTGTAACATTTTAACAATAGTGATGCCGCGAACGGTTCGCCACAAACCGTTCGCGGCTAACTCCGGTCAGCTGACACATCCCTGCCAATCTCCGGCAGACCCTCCCTCCCAGACCCTCCCACCTCCTGGACAGCATCCATATTGAAGCTGCCTTCAACATGGATGCTGTCCAGGAAGTAGGAGGGTCTGCCGGAGATTGGCAGGGATGTGTCAGCTGACCGGAGTTCGCCACGAACGGTTTGTGGCGAACCGTTCGCGGCATCACTATTTAACAACCCCAATGTAGTGACAGAAAAATGGCAATGACTATATGCATATGACTATAATTGACAGGAATATTATGGAAATACTAAAGAATCTAAAATGAATGGATGTTCATATATACCCTAACACCATCGTAACCAGATATGTATTATAATCGCAATACAGAAACCGTATATAACCATGAAACCATTATAAGATTATATGCCAATACTATCTAAAGAGATTACAATCTATTTCATATAGGAATCCTGCTGCATAGTGTTTTGTAAAAATTCTGTACCGAGAGAGACCGGTAGGGGTCAGTAGTGTAACGTGTCTAGCCATAATGCTATCTTTCGTGCGATCATGTGCACGAAAGCCTTGCCTTCATAGGCTTTCGTGTAGTCTAGCCGAGTAAGCTAGCGTATGAACGGATTGGCCCCCGTTCGGGAGTTGTAAACGAACAAAACAGATAACGTGAATTTAAACACACGAGACCTCGTTCGTCAGGAATACATTATTATTATTATTGCCATTTATATAGTGCCAACAGATTCCGTAGCGCTTTACAATATTATGAGAGGGGGATTTAACTATAAATAGGACAATTACAAAAAAAAAAAACTTACAGGAATAATAAGTTGGAGAGGACCCTGTTTAAAAGAGCTTACATTCTATAGGAGATGGGGTGTAAAACACATTAGGACAGGGATTTGCATTCAAATAAGGTGGGCTGCCCTTTAGGAGAGAGCAAGAGACAGGAATGTGAGGTTAGTCTGGGAGGCCATAAGCTTTCCTAAAGAGATGGGTTTTAAGGCACTTCTTAAAAGATGCAAGACTAGGGGAGAGTCTGATGGCAGTAGGCAGACTATTCCATAGGAAAAGAGCCGCCCGTAGGAAGTCCTGCAGGCGTGAGTTGGCCGTACAGGTGCGGACAACAGACAGGAGGTGGTCATGGGCAGAGCGGAGAGACCGAGAAGGGACGTACCTATGGATCTGTGAAGAGATATAAGTGGGGCTAGAGTTGTTCAGTGCTTTATAGGTGTGAGTTAGTACCTTGAATTGACTCCTATAGCATACAGGAACCAATGTAAGGCCTGACAGAGGGGTGAGGTGTGAGAGAACCAACTAGAGAGGAAAATCAGTCTGGCAGCAGTGTTCATTATGGACTGTAGCGGTGCAGTACGGCTTTTGGGAAGACCAATCAGGAGAGGGTTACAATAATCCAAGCCGGAAATTACCAGAGCATGGACAAGCTCCTTTTTTAGCATCTTGCGTAAGAAAGGGGCGGAAGCGGGCTATGTTTTTTAGATGGAATCTACAGGATTTGGCAACATACTGGATGTGAGGCTCAAAGGTGAGGCCAGAATCAAGAATGATGCCAAGACAGCGTGCTTGCAAGGATGAACTGATGGGGGTACCACAAACTTAAAGGGAGAGCGAAAGAGGAGGATCAGTATTAGGAGGAGGAAAGGCGAGGAGCTCAGTTTTAGAGAGATTGAGTTTCAGAAAGCGGGACGACATCCAGTTGGAGATGGAAGAAAGGCAAGCAGTGACACATTGCAGGAGGGCAGGGGAGAGGTCCGGGGAGGAGAGATATATCTGGGTGTCATCAGCACACAGGTGGTAGTGGAATCCAAAAGAGGTAATAAGTTTGCCAAGATAGGCAGTATAAAGAGAAAATAGAAGGGGACCAAGGACAGAGCCTTGGGGGAGGTATCATTAGGAAAGGAGACACTGAATGAGTGTTGGGAAAGATAAGAGAAAAACCACGAGAGGACAGAGTCACAAAGACCGAGCGATTGAAGAGTTTGAAGAAGGAGAGCATGATCAACGGTGTTAAAGGCCGCAGAGAGGTCAAGATGAATTAGTATGGAGTAGTGGCTTTTGGATTTAGCTGCGATTAGATCATTAGTAACTTTGATAGGCACAGTCTCAGTAGAGTGGAGAGGGCGGAAGCCAGATTGAAGAGGGTCAAGGAGAGAGTTGGAATTGAGGAAATGTGACACACGGGTAAAAACAAGTCTTTACAGAAACTTTGAGGAAAAAGGGAGCAGGGATATGGGACGATAGTTAGAGAGGGTGGATGGGTCGAGGGATGTTTTTTTCAGGATAGGTACTACAGTGGCATGTTTAAGGTCAGCAGGGACAATGCCAGAAGAGAGAGAGCAGTTGAAGATGTGTGTTAAGGAAGGCACGAGACAAGTGGAGAGAGATCTAATAAGGTGAGTTGGCACAGGATTGAGTGGGCAAGTGGTGGGGCGAGAGGAAAAGAGAAGAGCAGCCACCTCTTGGTCATGAACAGTTACACGAATGAAACAGAGAAGCCAGTGAATTGTATGAAATATGCGAACTGTAAGCATAAAAGGATAGACCTGACCCGTGATGACGCCAATTTATGGAAATAGGCTGCCAAGGGGTTCTCAAGTGAAAAAAAGGATGGGCAGGTTACGTTTTTTGGGAGTATCTGGAACTGTCCTCGGAGAAACCTGCTTGGAGGGAGCTGTTTGGACGCCGAAATTCGCGGCCCGTGGCAGTAACAGCCGGAACAAGTGAAACCTCGTGGAGAACAGGTAAGACCTGTAGATTGGGGGTACTGTTTTACTCTGGAGACTTCACTGAACACAAATATTAGTGTTTCAAAACAGTAAAATATATTACAACAATGATATCATCAGTAAAAATGCATTTTTTTCACACTCAGACACTGACGATATAATTGTTGTGATACATTTTTGAAACACTAATATTTGCAATACCTTGGGTTGTCTACTATTGCAAATGGTATGCCATCATGGTTGTAATTCTCATTCCTGGGCTACTATACAGTCTCAAAGGCAACGTAAGCAATCTGGCGAATTTCAATGTGACAAAAGCGAAAAATGTAACATGCTATATTTGACCCTGTAATTTCCCAAAACACTATAAA